ATATTGCAGTACACAATCAGAACCTCATTGCTTTGGGGTGCAAGATATAAACTCTTGGTTTTATTACAATCCCTGAATTTCAGGTCTTCTTTTTTGTAATTTACCTTCTTGTGTGTAAGCCCATGTTAGGGAGCCCTTCTGCCCATTCTGGTTTTATATCTCTTATCATGATATAGTCTGAAAGCCATCACTGTATGGTAATGATAAATGTCACTTTATAAAGCTACTGATTGTAATCTTGTAAATGTTTAGGCCAGCGTTGCTCTCAGAGACTCAAACATGGCATGTTTTATTTTGTGCAGACATTCAGACCAAATAGAAAATGTATTGATTTTTTTAATACATTGTGTAAATGTAATCCCCTTGGTGCAAAACCCTGTATTGATTTGGGCTTTTTTAACATTTACATCCATCCGTTTTTGGGCCACATGAATTGCTAAACACAAACTACAGTTTGGTTAAGGATTTCCATCTGTAAATGATTCTGCACACACATTAATGATGTGATGCCATTTTTTATTTTTGGTTTTATTTCTGCCTCCAGAATACTCCGCAGGCTCCTTTGAATGTTACTGATCCTGTAATGTACTATTTATTTGTCCGTCACCGATGTGTGGACTAATTCCTTCTAAACCTGCTTTTCTTGCGTGTTTGCTTTCTTATACATTGCCACTATACCGATATGACTCCTGTGTGTCCAGCCAATCGCACAGCAGCACATTTAGAGATTCTTTCTGTAGCTCTTAGTATACTTTTTGTCATGCATGAGTAATCCGTTCTCTGCGTGAACATCGGGACCAACAGTAGGCGAGCATCCGAGTGGAACGCTGTTAGTGTTCATGTAGACTGGAACCAGTGGCTAGAAATGCTATATACTGTATATGTCCATTGTTGTGACATAGCAGCTGAAGTACTTTTGCAAACCTGTATTTTCTTTCTTTTTCATTTGAAACAAGTGTTTGTTTGTGAGCTCTGTTCAGTGTGAGTCGGATGATTGTGGTTAATAAACTTTCCAGATGTGTTTGAGCAAAAAATTATTGTTTCATTATTGAAATAACATTCACAGAGATATCACTATATAACACAAATCTATGAGAATCATTGTGTTTTTGTTACCTTTATAATGAGCCATTCTTATCTACAGTGGGAGCAGGTCCTCTTCCATGTTGAACCCCCATATTTCTACAGTAGCCCAGAACGGACAAACCAAACTGGCTGTGGATGGACATCCCTAGATGCAACTAAATTCTACACACTGGTCCCTTAAGCAGCATTCATTTATCTTGTTGGCCACTCGAAGGCCGCTTTCTTCAACAAGCTGTAGACGCCATACTGATCACCTTATAAAGTTATGGCTAACATGTAAGCATGTCACTTTCTAAGAAGCTGAGATATATTTGATGATATTTTGATGATTTTGTAAAAATGAAACATTTAATGGTGTGTTTACATGCTAACACTGACACAGTATCACTGTATAAAGATGTGTTTCATTAGTAAACAGCTGCTGCTTGTACATCCAACACTCGAGCAACATGAGCATTAGACATACACAGGCATGGAGCTGATGGCTCAATGCAGAGGGGACAAGGACCTGTAGATTATAATGAGGTGCATATCAAAAAAGAAATATGAAACAACTTACCAATAATGTTTTCATCCAACAGCTGTCAGTGTGAATCCATGAGTACACTGTAACCTGCATGAAATATCCAAACACTCCAACACTGTCACACAAGTCTTAATGTATTCCACCACCATCGTCATCATCACAGCTGCTTTATTCAGCTCGGCTGGTCTGACTTTACTCAAAATATTCAACTAAACAATACAAATGCATGTCCAGTCAGGCCAAAGGTGGGCCCCGTTGTAACTGTAGCGACCCATGTGCCGGGGCAGCTGTACCCTCCGCTACAGGACATACAGTATGTACTAAAACCAATATTAACTCTCTCCCTCTGTTTTAGTCTCCACTAAATGTCCGACTCATTAGCAGCCAAATGCTGAATGTAGCATACAGTATGCTAAAAAGCTCTGTAGACCTGAGGGGAACAGCATTTGGGTGACAGTTATTTGTGGGTTTGTTACTATGAGTGACCCCTTTCACATTACACATAATCATTTGATCAATTGATCTTGTAAAAATATTGATTAGTGCAGCTTTAACTGAAAGTTGTCAACAATACGTCTGCAAGGAAAATGTTCTCTCACACAAGTGATGATTAGGTGCACTCTTACCTATCATGGTCCAGCTAGGACAACTCCTAATCAAGTCATCTTTAAATAATAATAAGCCAGCTTTATACAGCTTGCTTTGTGTTCTGTAATACTCTGTAATACAGCGGTGTGGTCCTGGATTGCAGTGAGTTAAACCTCTGTCTCCTAATGAGCGGTAGTGCTACCAGGCCCTTCATTAACGTGCTAAAGTTGCAGATTCATAAATGCTTGTTGGCTCTGTGAACTCAGAGGTGTCACACAAGTCACTGTGGGTCTCCTAATTATCTTCAGTTTTTACTTTTCAATATGCAATGGATTGACAATTCAGTGCAAGTGTTGAGTCAAAGTAGCATTTCTTTCTCTATTCAGCATCACACATACAAACACAGAGCATTTCCTGTAGGTCAGGTGCATTTCTAGAACATTTTGAATAGAGAGGCTAGTGTTTGTTATATTTTGTCCACAATTAATAATAAAAATACTGGGTCAGGGTCCACTTACCAGCTATTTCTGGAGCTTTCGGCTGTATCACATGGCCTTCATCAGCAGCTGAAGTTTGCTTTGTTGTCATGCAAGTGCAGATGTTCAAACCTTCCATTACTCTGATCACTTTCAGGACTTCTGTGTGGTAGTCGAAAGCTACAGAACAAGTCAGTAAGTGGACCTTGAGTGGAAATGAACTGCTGTTTCCAAGGTCATGGTCAGTTAAAAATACTTCCTGTTACCAAAGTAGTATTTATTGTATGACTCTTGCACTACAGCGTAAAGGAGTTGCTGTTTGTCTGTTCATTCAGTTCATGTACTGTCTAATAGACCTATTCACAGCACAGCAGCCTACCAGTTCATGTCAAAATGGCTGCTGTGAAAAAGGCCTGCTCCACCTATGACAGTGTATTAACTGTAGCATGTTTGCTTCAAACAGTGGTCTTCTTTGCTGGTATAATACTGGACATCCTAATGGAGTGTTAATGGTGGTTATATGCAGTTTGGCAACGAGACCTAAAGAAACCCAAATGCAAGTTGGCGTGCCCTTTGAGGTGCAGGTGCTTTATTGGGGGCCCCAGGCTTTTTGACGCATCGTGTTCTATGGCCTCAGCCCCAGCTGGTGGGGGGCCTCACTGTGACAGGTATGGGATTAGTGAGAGAGCAGTGGAAATACTTGCGCCCTACTTTGAAACTTGCATTGTAGATGAGCTCCTAGCAAAATGACTGCACTATAAATTCATGAAGCACCTCATCCAGATGTCTCCTCTGAGCTCAGCGATAGCCATCTGTCTATCTGTGTCTGCAGCAGACGACTCATGACATCTCCATATAAAAGAACCTGACTAAGGGATATGAATAAGACGAGTAATAATCTGATGAAAAGAATAATTCAGACAAGTGTATCTAATACTTGTCATTGTTCAACTGTGCATTCACAACCCTGCCAGAGATCATCATCCTCCAGTGTTCTCACCCAATATTATTAGTTATGCTGGATAAAAAAGGATTCAATGTCAGTGTACATATTGAGTATGCAACGTGCAGGTCTATTCATATGAAAATATCTCTGTCTTATCAACACTGATGCCGTCTTCAGGAGAGTTTGTAGCAAGACTGGTTCAACAGAGCCATCTAGTGGAGATACATTGCTATGGTCACAGGTATGTCAACACATGAAGGGTTTTAATTCAAGCATGATTTATTTTGGGTACAGAAGTGTAATTACCTGTTTGACAAAAACTCCTATCCGATTAAAAAACGTCACTATTTATAAAAATCTAGCTTATTAAAGCTGCATTAATTGATATTTTTATATTAACAATGCATCAAATGGTCATGTGTAGTGTGTGAAGTGTCACTGGTAGTGACAAACCCACAGAAAATGATCACCTGACTGCAGATTTCCTCAGTTCTACAGAGTGTTTTAGCATTTTTGAATGTTTTGCTTTACTCTCACACCTCTCATCATTGTTGTTTCCATTGTACCAACTCATTGTACGCAACCTGCTCAGCACCAAACAACACACACAATTTGCATCTAGCTAGTGACCACAGAGCATTTAGCAGCTAAGTTTGTGGGAACCAAAACTAACTAACTAGATAAAAGCAGAGTGAACACTTGACTTACATTCCTCAGGTGGACAGTAACACAACTCCAAATGAATGCTAATGTTGCTCTGTTTCTGCTGGATGTCTTAGTAGGGAACTGTTAGTTCACAATTGCCTGAAAATATCTATATAGTGATAATATGTCAGTGTTAGTGTGTTAGGAATACTTTAAATGCTCAACATATACAAACACAAAATGCATCCAGTACCCGTCAGTCTCAGTCAGAGCACGAACGATAGCCCGACCTGCCGAATCCTCCTGAAAACCTGGATTTCCTGTAAGAGTTTTAGATTTGTGGTGCTTTCTGGGACAGAGGTGTAAGCATATATTTCATGTAATTCTGGACACAAGTGATAAATCTCTGTACACACTACACTTCCCTCTTTAGTGGGAAACTGGGGCTCCGAGAGCTCGTTCGTCTTCATCCATCGCTCTCAGCCTCCTCACACTTTCCTCTCATAAGTCATACCTCGCTATATATAACCAGCTGCATTGTTCTGCTCCTCCACATCTAAACTCACTTAATCTGGCTTTCACAATAAGGCGAATAAAGATAAATGTCTCAATCTGTAATATTACTGTCACATACTATCTAGCTATATCGCAAACCGCAACGCGGGGTTCGCTGCTCTTTATCTGCGGCGGCACATGTGACAGGAAGTGTGAGACAAATGAAAAGGAGCCGGTGTAAAACAACAAAGATAATACATTTAATATTGTTTCTCTTTTGGGCAATGCGAGATACAATGTAAACATGTACAAGATACAAAAAAAAAAAGGAACAAGACCTGTCGAAATGAAACGGTAGATAACAAAATGCCCTGTTTTCAAAAGGAATGCGCATGTGCACAATGTCTCCAACAGAAAGGAACTTGGACAGCGTTTGCTTTCGTTGTATTTCGTCCTGGTGCACTGGCGTACAGCGTGATGATGCGTCAAACTGGCAAGTGCATGGCCCTGTCCCCACATTTGATCCGGTGGGCAGATGACTCATCGTTGGATGATTCATTGACGTTTACAGTGGAATAAAGCCCCCTTAGCTTCCTCATGGCATATCTTTTGAAAACAAGGAGCTTGCAAGAGTTAAACACAATTTGCATAACAACAATGGTAATAAGAAAAGAAAAGGATAGCACCTCCTTTGGTCCAACTCGAGGCCTGTAGTTGTTTCTGTGTTTGTTAGCGTGGTTGACATGCTGGTAACAGATTGTTTTTGTCAGGATTTACAGATCGAGAGCTCGATGGCGTCGGGCTTCCAAGATTCTTTTTTGGCACACTGCTCTCCACAGCAGGGTGGTGACGAATTCTCTTCTATAAATACAACATCGAGGCTAAAAACAGGCTAAACCTTCCCATGAATCTACCTCAGCTTGTAACATCAATCACTTCTGACAGCTCTCCTCCACCTCAAAACTGTGTCTGAGCCCGCAGCCGGCGCCGGAGGCCCCCACGCAGGATGGCAGCAGCGTTCTTCTTTAGAAAGCTGTTAGCGCTGGAATATCATCCGACTGGCTTAGGTTAATTAAGACACACTGTTGTGCTAATTAGGAACAGGGATTCAAACTGAGACAAAGAAAAGTGCCACAGAGACACAGCGGTGCGCCTCGTTCCTCGACACAGCCTCTTTTGTGGAGCTCGGAGACAGCTCCTGCTGATGCCCGCCGGCGCGTCAAACAACTGCGATTCTGTGAGGAAGTTTTCAGAGTGACATAAATAATCAGCATTCCCCGATTCACAGGCTTGGGATTTATTTTATTTTTTTACCCCAAATGCTTGAGAAAAAGCCCTGCAGCTTCCCTCGTTCTTTTCTTTCTTGTCCCACACTCAAACAAGAACTAGATATTAATTAAAAAAACCTACAAAATCACCCCCTAAATATCTCAAACCTGCTCCCACACACTTACTAAAACTTTCTTATCAAACCTCCTTCTATCAGACTGCCGCCTTTATTAACCTCGCAATCACTCCAATCCAGAGCTGGGTGCTGTTGACTTCTGAAGCCCCCCTTTTTTGGGGGGGGATTCAGTTCATTATGAATTAAGGCTTGTTTCATCAGATGTGAATAAACACTTTGAATCCTCTGCTGAACTTCTACAACGTTCAATTATTTTCTCGACAAAAACTCAAAAGGAGTAAGGCAAAAAAGAGAGAGAGGCAGAAAATCCTTCATTTGAAGCCATTTTCCCACTTTTCAGCACCCAGCTCAACTCTCGCACCCTCAGGGCTACACAAGATCTGAAGACGCTGACAGTAAAAGAAGCTGAAATCAGACGCAGGATCAGTCTTAAAAGTTCTTCTACGGACGGAGAGAGAGGCTGAGAGAAGCTGCTGCGGTGTGAACTCATTTGTCTCTCACTGACTGCAGTTTCTTGAAGGAGCTTCAAAAAAACGTCAAGTGCTGCAATTAAGACATTGTTTGGAGTAATGAGTTTTCACAGCTCAGGTTGGGAAGCGGGGAGCTCATTAGGTTGGGGGTTTTTAAGAAGGTGGATAGAAGGAGTGGAATAAAATGGGCCCCCCGCTGGAAGGAATTATTTCTCGCTGTTTTTTAGGAGTGGAAACGGTGCCCACCAGCCTTTCATCTCCCCTCCTATCAAAGCAGAGCTCCTCTCACCTCGCTCTCACCTTGTCTCCTAGAATCCACTATCTGATCCATCTCGTGTCTCCCTGCATCCTGCTCTCACAAAACTCCTCCTTGACCTCCAAATTCTCTTCTCCTGAGTGCACCTGCAAACAATCCATCTCATCATGCAAAAGCACACACAAACACACGCTCCCCCTCCCCCTCCCCCTCCCCCAAACCCTCCTAGATATCTCAATCATTGCCCCGGGAATAGACTGCCTGGCTGTGTCGAGGAAGGGAGGGATGGAAATGCGGCGCTGAGGGAAGAAGGAGACGGAACTGAGGAGCAGAAAAGGAGGAATACACTACGGCGGGCGGCTAGCGTTTGAGATTACAGAGTTTAAGGTGCTTCGCGCCCGAGAGGTGCCGTCCATTTGTTAAAATAAAAAGAGAGCAGAGGAATAAAGCAGGGGGCAGGCGTGGTGGGGGTTGTCTCACCCGGCTGACCTCCGGGAATATGTCAGGAAACTCGTACATTTCCTCTGGCATGAATGACTCCCCATCATCATCACTGAGTGTGTGTTGGCATGTGCGCACACGCTCAGTTGTGCAGGCGGAGTGCAGAAATATTGCCTCCGCCAATTCCATTTCCTCTCTGCTGTGTGCGGTGTGGCTGAGATAGGCTCAGCTGGCAGACCGTGACTGAAAAAGAGGCCTGTAACTTAAAGAAATAGCTCGGCATTATGGGAAATAACCTTGCTTTTTTGCTGAGTTCCACATTCCTGTATGCTAAATATAAAGCTAAAGCCAGGATGTATTTAACTTAGCTTAGCATAAAGACTGAAAACAGCCACCCTGGCTCTGGTGGAAAACAATCCACATGCCAACACCTCTAAAGCTCATTGATTAACATGGTACATGGAATTTGTTTAAAGCCCCCCTCCAGTCAAATATCAGTGTTCCTTCTTGTCCCTACAGTGTGCTCTCTGAATGCTGTATGTGCAGTTTGACTCTAGAATCATCTGCTGAAAGTGGAAAGTTTCTCTGTGCTCATCGAACATCTGATTTTAAGGGGCGGGGGACAAACAGCAGGATTTGTGACAAATAGTTTGGCAGTCAGCCCTGGTCCAGTATGCAACTTGTACAGTGTGATCCACTGAGAATGGACCTAAAGTGAAGGAGGAGACATCTTGTGTCCAGCAGAGATGAACAACATTTGCATATTCCCAGATTAGACTTTTGTGTGGAAAAATGCATTATTGTTCCAAGCATTTGTTTATATCCTAAAACATGTTTGGAGGGGATCTTTAATGTTGCTGGGGTGTTGTTGTCAACCAAAGGTAAAACCACAACTCTTTTTTAAAGTGTTAAGTAGTGAACTTTGTGATGTTGGCAGCATTTTTAACCTTTTGACAGAGCCAGGCTAGCTGTCTCTCCAAGCAACCCGTCTTTATGCTGAGCTAAGCTATCTCCTGGCTTCAGCTTCATATTTAACAATCCCCACATTTATGTTTGCATTTTAATTTGTCTGATATTGTTTTTCACCAAAACAGTACATTTTCACAACTGCATCCGCTTCTTCTCCCTCATTAAAAATCGCAGAAATATGCATATGCAAATATTTCTCACATCAAAAGTTGCAGTGATGAGCGATGTCTCCTACTTCACTGCAGAGTCAGTTCTGCCAGGATCCTACGTACGTGTCTTAAGCTGAGGTTTAAGGTGAGCACACAGAAACCTTTCCTCTTCAGCAGATGGATGTGAGAACAACCTTTTACTGTCAGACTCTGCACATACATCACACTGCACAGTGAAGCTCAAACATCCAAGTAAGAAAAACCCTTACGTTGGTGGAGGGGGGCTTTAACGGCATGAGAGTGGTATCGATCTTCTCATCTAACTCTTGGTAAGAAAGCAAATCAGGGTCTTTCCCAAAATGTCAGACTACAAACTATCGCCAAAAAAAAAAGATTTATGGACACAAGCCGCCCCCAATAATACAGGGAACTCTGCGTATTGGCCTGTACACACAGGTAGTCTTTAGCACACTGACGTATTCACCTTTAGCACATCGATAAGGCCTGCCTGGGGCTCAGCAAAGAGAAATATAAAGGTTTTTTCTATTTTTGGCGTACATCCTGGAAGTGATGGATTGAAGTGAAATGGCCTGAAGGAGCGTTCATATCCACGCTCTCTTGTTTACCGCTGAGACTCTCCCGCCGACGGTTCCAAATGTCACCTTGACCGAGGTGATTGGTGAGGGGGAAAAGCCTGACTTGGTTTGACAACGGTGGGGTAAATGTCAAGAGAGGCACCGGCGTAGGTGCAGAGAGGACACACTCCAGTGGGAAAACACACAAAAAAAAAATCTGAAGAAAAAGAAAACAACAACAACACAAAAACAAGAAACTATCAAAATTCCATTCAGGCACGAACGTGACAGCTCAGAGCAGGGCCGCTGGGGCCCCTGATGATGGGCCCATGACTCTCCATCTGTGAAGAAGACCCCAGATGGCTGTAATGTCCATACAGAACGGGTCAGTGGGCTTCTGCCATGCCATTCACAAGTCACTGTCCACTGCTGATCCGGGGCAGGAGGAGCAGAGGTTCTCGTGTTAGTAATTATAAAAGTCCATCACGTCAGGGTAATAATGAGATGTCACAAACGTCTGCTGCTTTGGTCCAATGAGTTTTTCCGATGCTTTTAGGGCCTTTCACATCTGCTCTTTTAGATACACTTGAAATGACGGTAAAAGCTCATGACTGGCAGTTTGACTGGGAATATCTACTCCCAACAGATGCAATGGCATTATTCACGTTTCTCTAGACCTGCAATGTTTTTTCCTCTTGTTGAAGTGTGATGTGCTTCTCATCTATTGCACATTTCCTCGAGGGGTATATTTCAGAATTTGACAAAAAGGGGAAACAAGAAAAAGAAAAAAAAAAGAAGGTAAAAGCATGAATGAAGATAGACGTAAGCTAAATGTATGCCTGACAGAACGATTCCCTTGCTGTTTCAGCTTAGTAAATTCAGCTCGATCAAACAAAAGCGATATGCAATAATAATACGTGCTGGAGCGAAATGTTAAAAGTGATTCAACACATTTACATAATGCCTTCGTCTGGATGGGAAGGGGCCTGACAGCAAATATTCCAATCCTAATTTTTTATTTCATTATTTATAGGTACGTTTTTCATTTTTATTTAATAAAATGACTAAAAAATACCTCACAACTCCACTAAACGATGTTGCTTTTGAATTTCCGCTGACTGCTGTGTCTCCATTTTGTATATTCAGTTCAGTGGAGTATAGTTTGCGTGAGAATGATAATCTGTATAATGCTGTACAGCAATATTTTGAATGTGGGGATACGGTGATTGTCAAACCGTGAGAAGATATAGAACTATTCATAATAAATACACATAAAATCAGGCATTATGTAAAGAACAATAAAGATGAAGGAAGTGTCCATGATTTGCTAAAGTTGCAGCACACAGCATAGAGAAAAAAAAGAAAAAAGGACTTTTTTTTTTCAAAAAAAATAAATTATTGCCCAATACAAAACATGTGCTACAAAAATATTCTTAGCTGCACTTAGATTTAAAAAAACAACAACAAAAAAAACCATTAAATTTCTGTACAGTTCTTGGTGAGACTCACTGACCAGCAGTGCATTTCTTATTGCACTGAGGTAGGACAGCTGGTAAGCCTTGTGGAGGGGATAAAAATCATGTTGTAGTATCTTTGACCTCCCACAAGAGGGCTCTGTTTCTCCAATTCTACTCTAACTTTGCCATGATCTCAGAACTCATAGTAGTTCCACCTCTCATTTGAGGTGAGTTTAAAGAAAAAAGAATTGAGAGAAATTAAATAATTACAAAAAAAGAATAAATAATATGCTGAGTATTTACTGCGTCTTTACATTAATGCACCATAAAAACGGGTTTAAAGTGCACTAATTCACAAAACAGAACCACTTCGTTCCTCATTATTGTCACTGTGCGATCACAACAACAAAACGAACAGACAAGACACAAATATGGTTTTGCTAAAATAGATAACTGCGATCTAGCAGGTACTGTACTTTGTTTAATACTATGATACTGTCCAGCAGAAACATAATGAAAAGTTAGTGTTCAGCCTCGTACAGAGAGCTCACACTGTCCGTTAGAAAATGTATTTCAGCAGTCTTGAACATCAGCCATTTGAATTTTGAAAGTTGGATTTTAGCTCAGAACTTCGAATTCTCATATTTCACTTCTGCATTGGGGGAGAATTATTTCTAACTAAATATTTTTAGGTGATTGCTAAATATTTTTTACAGGATATGAACCCTGACTTTAATGGAAGATATGAAAAAACAAGTTGACAAACTATGTTGTCTGCTATTTAATGCCAACCCTAATACTTGCACAGCAATATCTAATTACAATTCCCTTGCTTACTTCTTGTTTCATAGATCTATAATTTTGAGAAAATGTATCAAGTGCTTCCAGACACCCTGTATTAGGCATTTTGTTGAATATACTGTATTACTTGTACCATATAAATAAATAGTAAAATCACAAAAAACTCTCTTTGGTTTGATCACATTTTGGGCTAAATGCTGTGCAAATATGTCCCTGGGATTCAATTATTTCACCACATTTCCAGTACTTATTCAACACATCTCCGCAACAGCGGTATCATTATGTCTACAAAACAAACTATATACAAAATCCATTGTTCCTGGAACTAAAAACACTACAGTAAACCTACACCTTTGTAAACTAATTGTTTTGATCTTTTGAGGTTATTAGCTACTCAGATAGGAGCTGGTTTTGTTCTGGAGAGCACTCAAGTTACAAGTTGTTCTTTTGATTTTCCAGGAAACTAAAATATCTGCTATTTTCAAGTTTTACAGGTTTTTCATTATACATTTGTTATCCCAGATAGTTACCTCTGGGATTAAAAAAACATGAATATTAACATTTTTCTTGGACTTGAGGATCTATGACAAAAGTATGCCAATTTAACAAACCTAAGCACTTACTTTTTTATTTCACCAGTGTCAGATGGTGTGGGACACGAGGCAGGAGCTTTAACTTTTCCAATTCTAGGCTCTTGGTGGAAAAAAGATGTCACAAGAAAGCAGAAATAATTCTCTAAGGAAGACTTGCATCAACACAAGACATTATAACATGAACAATGAAACTAAATAAAAATTCTAATAACGAGATTAAAATGTTTTTGTTTGCTTGATGACTTGGTGGCTTCAAACAAATAAATTCTCTGCTGAATTGAGTTCCTTAAATCTCAGTTTTTCTTTCTTTAATCTGCGTTGGACCAATTAGAGCACTTCAAATGGAAACTCTGCACTTTGTTTGCACTCTATAGTGGAGCTCTTAATTGGTAATGGAAATACTCATGGTGGTGTTCATAGGCCTATGGCACTCTTAAAAGATTTGGTTGATTTAATGTTTTGCCATCCACCATTTAGGATCTCTATTCAGGTGAACAAATACAAAAGGCACTTATCGGCCATCATAGTCAGTGATGGGCAGGAATAAGCATAGCCATTACCCTGCTCAACTCCTGTATTACATGATGCAAACCTCTTTAAGAGGTTATCACTCCCATTCATACCATTTTATTTCTCAAAGACACTGTCCTCTTAAATTTCCTCACTCAATAGTGACCGATCCCATGTTTCTGTCTCTCATTCCCAGCCAAAATATTTTAAATCTTTACACTAGTCTTCAAATACATTTTAGTAAACCAGCACTAAAAGTGTCCTTCCTTGTCAGATTAAAACATCTTTCTTTTTACACAGTCTTTTCATGAATGTACATTTTCAAGGACATATTGCTTAGGGGAGATTGCGGGTAACATTTGCAAGAATTGATGCCACCCACGTCCTTGAAGACAATAAAAGGGGGAGGTGGGGGAAAATGTAGGGGGATGATGTGGGGTTGGTTTTATTTTTTCCGCTCTAGGTAGTTGGAGGGGACCCAGCCCTTGCGGGGAAGCAGGCTGTCCTGCACCTGGCAGTACCACCATCCATTGGGGTTTCTCTCCAAAACCTCCAGACAGGTGCCCTCAGTGAAACCCATAGTTTCCTCATCGCCACGATAGTCAGCAATGGACACGTACACATCCCTACCAAGGTTGTTGTGGATCAGTTGGTTCTTCTCTATGGGCTTGGGTCGGACTGTGGACACAGGAATGCCGTTGCGTTGGTTAACTCTGCTAAGGGCATCCTGGACATTGCTTGTGCTGAATGAGCTCCCTGAAGACCCCAGGCTGGAGCGCTCGGCAGGCCGTGTCTGACTTTCAACAACCACATGTGGCCGCACGGTACTGAAGGAGGCATTCCGGCGCACACCAAGAGTGGCAGAACCAGAGCCATAGTGATCACTTCTGCCAAGAGAATCATTTCGCCTCAGAGACCCTGTCATGTAGTGCCCATCCTTGGCTGGCTGTGTTGTGGTCACAAATACAGACTGAGGCCTGACAGCCACCTGGCGTACCCCGTTTCTCATCCGAACACCTCCATTAACCATCCCGGATGGCTTCGAGAAGCCACCAGGAGGCTTAGAAGGAATCGGTGGAGTGTTCCTCCTCAAGCCTTGATGCTGCTGACTCAGACCCTGAATATTTATGTTATTGAGGGCCAACACGTGCTGCTCGTTTTTCTCCAGGCTGTTGGACTTACTCCCACCACTCCCGTGTCCATCTGATTCTAACCCACCTGCATCACCCACTTGTCTGACAGGTTCCAGGTAGTACGAGGGAGCCCAGCCTTCCTCAGATCCCCAACGGATGTACCACCACCCGCTCTCCTGTTTCTCCAAAACCTCGACCTCCACCCCAGCCGGAAAGCTGACCTCAGAGTCCTGGACCTTCTTATAGGCGTCCAGGGAACGGTAGAGATTGGGGCCTTCCACATCTGAATCACCACGGCTCCCTTTGGAGTAAACAGAAGAGAGATCTGAGGTACTGCGCGAACACATCGAGTCCTCTGATGAGATAACAGAGGCCGTTTCAGAGTCGTCCCCACGAGTAGATTTGAGGCCATGTCGAAACTGACTTGTAGGCCTCAGCTGTCGTCTCAGAGAGCTGATATCCATCCTCTCTGGACTCTGGGGCTCTGATTTGGTCAGAAGTGGTTTAGGTCTGACAGAAGGCTTGGGTCTGGTGGAGGGGCTCTGGCCTATTCTCTGCTCCACATCCCGGTTGAAGGCAGGGCCTTTCTTGGGGCCTCTGCTCAATTCATCTGATGAAGAGTGGGGGCTGTTGTCCTGCGACCTGAGGCAGATATCTATGTGTCTGCCCAGGGTCTGGCTTCTTCGGTTCATCTCTGGTGTCATGGTTTTCATGGGTCTACCAGCTAAAGGTGAGGATCCGGAGGGTTTCCGTGGGACTGTGGAGGAATGATAGCTCCTTGGGGAATTTGGCTCACTGGAACCTTTGACTGATGTTCCTTCAACGCCGCTGCTTCGCCTGAAGCCATCGTTTTCATAGATACACTCCTCTTTTGCAACCTCCTCTACAGACCTGAAGGAAGCTCTTCGATGAGCGAACACAGGGGATGCCTTGCAGACAGGAGGAGAGGCCTTGCAGGAAGGAGGGGAGCTGCGATATTTGTCGCTGACCACGCTGCTGATCTTCACATCCAGGGCACGCTCATCCTTCAGGGAATCTGTGTCCGATTCACCTTCGCACCCAATAGCAGGTACATCATACTCAGGTTCTTCGTACACAGGCCTGCTCGGCGGCTCTGAGACTTTAGAGGCAGAGTTAGATGGAGGGGGGGCCTCCTCGGAGTCTTGTTTTTTGACAGGCGGAGCTGGGGGTGGGACTTTGGGACGAGTCAGGGTGCTAGTTCGACGGTTGAGGTTGGGCTTTTTGCGCTTGTCAATGTAGGAGCAGGGGGCCCAGCCCTCCATCTCTCCAATCTGCACATACCACCAGCCTCCAGGGTTCTTCTCTATCACCTACACAACAAGACATAGAAGATAAAGGATATCAAAAAGAGTATTTTTCTTTCTTTAGGATTTATCAAACTTGCTAAACACTGAAATTGGTTAGGGTTAGATGATCAGATGATCGAAGACGTGGTATTTTATTATTATGCTATTACTTCTTCCTGCACAGACATTGATGACATAAGTTAACACAGTCTGAAATTGCCAGCGCAACATAACTTGATGGTGATATTGATGTTATCTTCATCTCTATACCTGAATCTAGCAAATTCTGTCTACATCATCATGTTCAAGCACAAATCTCAAGGTTGCATCTCCATTGCCTCCGCTTCCCAGTCTATCTCAGTTGACATACATATTCAATGAGCCATGACTGTCTCATCTCAGCAACAACAATGTAGATGTGGCCTCTTACATCAGCCTTTTGTCCTCCACGGAAACTGATGCCATCAGAGATCGAGGACTGGAAATCTGCTATTGTGTAATACTCTGCTTCCACAGCAGGGGGCTCTGGTGGCTTGGGTAACTGGAATCCCTGTACAGCAAAGGGGGGGAAGTGTGCACAGCAGTTGATAAAGATAGTTGAAGACTTGCTGAAATTGTACTTGTGTTGTTACTGTGCTTTAATGGTTGCTATGCCAACTCCCGCAGTAACCTGGGAGCTAATTAATAATCTTCCTTTTTATGTTGTTATTCTCATGTACTGTATTTACACTGCTTTCACAATCCCTTTCAGCTAGAACCAGTGTTTGTAAATGTGTTCTTTTGTAGTTCTGTGATGCCTACATATTTCTGTTGAACATCCAATCATTTTAAAGAAAGCCCTCTTGGGTATTGTTAGGCTAGTGGCTTGTTAATTTTCTTACCAAGTTGGTTTCTCTTCTTGGGGGAGGTTTTTGTCTCAGATTCGGAGACCCTGAAAAACAAAGAAACATGCATTGCATTTAAAAATGTATTTGCAATGTACGTAACCTACATCCAACATTCAGGAACAATGGAGTTATATTTGTGCCTCATTCCTGCGCACGCAAGACAAAAATACTTATACCATTATGCCCTGAATGGCTGGCAGTCATGAAATCTGTGCCAGTGCCTTCTGCCTTTACATATGAGTGATGCAGCCTCACTCGTCATTCAAATTAAGCACTATGCTTCTCGCTTCACCCTAGCAGCAAGAGGAGCAGTCCGGTGAGACATCTTGCTCATGCTACTATGCAAGTAACCTAAGTTCTCTTTCATTTCGATGTCTCACTGTGAGATATGGAAACTACCATATTGCCAGACGAGCTTATGTCCTTGACTGACCGCCAGCCCACCTCACACAGAGCACACCGAGGAGCACAGCATGAGCAAGGCTCCAGTCGGAATGCTAGCAGTATTACTGGTTACTAGAGAGAGTAGGGAAGCACTAGAAGAACGGTAAGCAGCTCCGCAGCACCACAACAACTGTTAATGCAGTTTTGGTAAATACCTACTTTTATGGATTTATGGAATTTCCGTGCCTCAAATGGTTTAAATCAGGGGCACAAGTGCCTGTATAAAATGTAACTGTATAGCCCTGAGTTGTGTCTAATATTTACACAGCTATCTGACTATTAATCACCTTTTAGCATCCTTTTAAAACTAGATGTAGCACACTCTGTCCAACAAAATCTTATCTTAGATTTAGAGTTTGAATTTACAGACACTATAATGATTGTAATGCCAATAGTACTATAATACTATCTGACTAGAGACAGCCAATCAGAAATGTCCTTTTCCAATTTTGTCTGGAATTGCAGCACATTGTAACACTCTGTCAAGCTGAGGAAGATCCCAGGTTAACCCGAGAGCGCACAGAGCAGAGCTGTTGAGAGAGGGAGAGAGACCCTCCCTGCCAGCACACAGCAGTGAAACTGAGAGGGGAAATGAGTAAAACTGGGTGAAAAAGGTTATCATTGGGCACTTATGTGAATATTAGCAAACTAGGAAACAAATAAATTGAGCACAAAATAGATTTTTGTTTACTCATATGAAAATGTTCTTTGTATGCTAATAATTTCTTAAGAAAAGAATAAAATTGTATTGTCACATACAGTACAATCAGGCACAGTACAACACATAGGATGAGTTAAATGCACTGTCCAGTGGCAGGGGACCAACTCCAGATCTTAGCCAGTGCCTTAGTCAAGGGCACAGACTGGAGAAATTAACCTAACATACATGTTTTGATGGTGGGGGAAACCGGAGCACCTGGAGGAAACCCCCCAGGCACGGCGAGAATGTGCCACACAGAAAAGTAATTCATGTACTTGCAGAAAATCTCTTTGTGCTCAACAAGTCCCATCACATGTTCAGGAATGAGGCCATACATTCTTAGTATGTGAGTAAAATGGATATCCACACTAAAATCCAATGTTAAATAGCATCACAGGTTAGTGTGACAGTGTTATTAGATTACACCACCACCACCACCACCATTAGACACACCACCAGCCATGTAGCTTACCTATAGCATCAAATCCTACACAAAAAGAAAATGACATGTCTTAATGTCTCATACAAAGACTACAAATCCCCCTCTCCTTAACTGCAATGCATTTACTGCTGTATACACAGGTACAATTGTCTCCTAACACAACACAAATACTCACCAATTTCCACTCTATGCGGTGCCACTCTCGCAACAGCTGGGGACCCTGGCTCGCCTCTTCCTTTATTTTCATTTAGGGCAGCACTCGCTGCTATTCCCAGACACGGGCTGTTGGTGTCACGGCCTGCGCTCAGCCTCCTGCCTGTCTCGGCATTGATTTCAGAGTTATAGGGCATGGGCAGGCTGATCTCGCTCTTGGAGATGTGGCGTTCCGGTGTGGTGCTTTCATCTCCATCCGTCTGGATGTCCTTCTCACTGACTGACTTCTTTTGCAACAGGTTGCTGATCTCCATGATGTTGCCGATGATCTCCACGGGGCCTGTCAGGGTCTTCTTGCGAGGGGAGAAGTCCTCTTTCACCTTTTTCAAATAGGAGGCAGGGGCCCAGCCTTCTTTCCCTAAGTATCTGTGGGTAGAGTGCATGAAGACGGTATGTTTAATACTGTATCTTGATGAATTTAGCCATTTTTCTATCATTTACCAATTTTACACATGAAGGTCAGTTTATGGGGACATGAAGATTTACAAGGAAGCAATGATGCTGTTGGTTGCATTATGGGAAATGTAGGATCCAGAGTTTTTGAAGCTTTCTGGAACAGAACAGAAGGGAACAAATCTAAATACTTTAGCCTGTGTTGCATGATTTAGATTTTTTTGTGAGACCCCCCAGCAGGAAGTGCAATATTAAATACCAATGTGCCCCTTTAAGATAGTGCACTAATATTAGTTGAACCATAAATTATACCTAGAATGAATAAACAACAAAATTTGCATATTCTCTGGCATTTAAGTGTGTAATAAAATACACCAAGAAAGATCCTGTGTATTGAAAAACAGACACTATTTTAGTTTTAGTGGTGTCAGGGTAACCAAAGGCAAGTAAACAGACTGCATACAGTAATATATGCAAAGAGACACCGCGTCCCCACATTTAAACATTCATTGTTAAGCTAAATGAGTCATTTTAGAGTGCTTTGTGAAACAATAAGTAATGTTTCCGATTGCAACCATGAGTCATTTGCCTCTAGGTGGGCCATTTGCTGCTCAGGAGAGATGTGATCATTTCTGCTTCCCTGTTGCATGACTCCAACTGCGAGTCCCCCGTAACTAAAAAAGGCCCATGGTTGCACTATTAAAACGGCCCCCTAAGAGCAGCATGACTCATGTAAATCTGGAGGATTATCTCTTGTCGAATAATGTGCTCTTTAATGACTTCTGCAGTGGAACAAGGCCGATGAGTAGTCAAGTCAGTTTTTATTTTTCAAATAAAATTTGCCTCAAGAGGCTTTACAATCTGTACACCATAAGACACCTATCCTTAGATCACTGGTTCGGATAAGGTAAAACACTCCAATAAACTGTCTGAACAAGCACTTAGCACTTGTGTATACATATTAGCAATATACTATAAATATCACACAAGCACACTTAAGCACCTTTAACAGGGACTCTGTGTGTGTGTATAAGCATGCATGCTCTTTGTGTGCATGTGTATGTCAGATGCCACGAGGCAGCATGTGATAATAATCCGCTGTGCAGTGGAGCTCCACTGTCCTTTGCCCCGGGGATGCAAGGAAACAAACAACTGGCAGGAAATAAACACTGGCTGAGTAAACAATACACATATGTGTTAATAGGCACATGCACACGTACACATTAGAAATCCCAGGAAGGACAGGCAGTTGATCTGTGGCGAGCGCCATATGCTAATGGTTTCTCCTCAATACCGTGACGCAAATGAGAGCTGCAGAAAACCACTGCCTTGGTCACGGCGCTAAGCAATGACGACTGCCAGCAGTGTCATTGTTCTCTCAGGACTCGCTCACTTTGAAATAGGATAACCCAAAAAAAAGACTTTAACACTTTGGACACGTTCCATTTTTCTCATTTGGCTACCATGCACCTTTTACTCCTCAGCGTTAACTCACCTGATGAACCACCAGCCCTCCAGGTTCTTCTGGATGACCTCCACGGTGACCCCTTTCTCAAAGCTGACTTCATCTTTCCCTTGACTGGTGTACGGCTGAACCGTCACATATTTCTCCTCTGGAGGGGAAAAGGAAAGAGAAAATGTTGTCATTAAACAGTCTTACATTGAGGGGTTCAAACTACTGTTATAGTTTACATCTTCCCAGAAGGGCTTTATGAGGGAAAAAATGGCGAGTGTGACCTACTTAAAAAGCTCTGACTATTTTCATACCAACACAAACACTCTCTCCTTGTCCAACACAATAATAACAACCGGCTCCCTCTATTGGCTGACCCCCCCCCCCCCCCTTTCTGCTTGTTTCTTATCCACGCTAGGTCTCGTCCAAGCTATTTGGACCCTGATCCAGCGTTCATCTCTCTCCAGAGGGATATTCCTCTTCTAGCAGCAGGGGCCTCCCTCAAGGAGACATTTGAACCGAGGTCTCTCTTCTCAGATCCCTATCTGAGTGCCACTCCCCTCTCACGCTCAGCTAGGTTTCCAAGACCGTGTAGGGAAGGAAATCCTACAATGGGCTTAGTGTGGAGCAGTAGAAGGTTGGGGGATTTATAGACACCAAGGCAAAAGATGGGAGCAGAGGAGGAGACGGAAGATTGGCGGATAGGTTAGATCGAGCTTCACAGCAGTGGGAGACATCATCAGTGGACAGCAAATTGGATTATTTCAGTGGCTGATGAATTGGTATGGTATGCAGAGGAAGCATCCAAAATTCAGTGGGCAGAAAGAAATGGCCAGAGGGAGGGATCTACACATGTATAGAATAAATGAGTCAGACGGAAGAGACTGGGTAGGGATGATATCTCGGAGGTATGCGCTTGTTCGTCTTGATACACGCTTCCAATAGGTGGGGTATGTCCAGACGGCAGCGATTTCAGTTCCTTGTCATTGCAGAGCAGCTGAGGTCAATAATGTGGAGCAGCGTGGAATGTCTGGCCCTGAACCACAGCTCCCAAAGCATGTTGTGAGTGTGTGTGTAGAAATTGGGGTGAGTACTTGCAGATGGACAGGGAATAACAAATGGGGTGGCTTACAGAGGAATCTGGAAGGTCTACCTAAATGTGTGTGCTTGTTATGTGTATATTGATGTACTACTAGCAAAATCTTTGGTGCTATGTGGAAACACAGAGAGCATCTTTATGTGTGTTTTGGGGTTAATTCTTGTGTTGCCCCGAGGACCGGAATAAAAGATGAAAAGATTGAATGAATCACATCTGTAAATCACATCTGTGTCTCTTTCATGAGCTGTTCATGTGCCTCAGTGTCCATTTCTGCCTGTGCGTGTCGGTGCCGGCATCACACTGCAGGGACACAACAGTGAGTGGAGCAGGCGGTCAGCGGGACTCTATAAATCAGACTAGGGACCTGTTGTAAATGATAGCGCTCCGTGAAAGCTCAGGCCACTGCCAGCAGGGCGGAGGGAGGGCAGCTTCTATTGAACCCTGGAGTGCGAGACGCCACTCCTTGCAGAGAACACAATGAGGTCACTTTGCCGTCAGTAACCAATCAGCACCTCCAGGGAGGTCAGGACACCCTGACCTGGCTGTAATTTCATTTGAGTCCCGAGCGTGCCCTTATTTTATTGTCAAGATCTCGGGATCGCATCCACGTCTTCTTTATGAATCGCCGCGTAAAAAGGCAAAGAACTCTGTGTCAGCAGACGGGCTGCGGAGTGTACGGCTGCTTTCTTCCATTAGCAAATTACATCCTGGGAGAACATAAATCCTACGTGATCGGTCTTTGTTTTTGTCCTTTGCCAGTGCTACTAAATCAAACTGTATCTCAAGTGTCTGCACAGAGCTGTAAAACCTCACTCACCCATTTCTTATCGCTAGCTCAGCAATGGATTATCAGGCAGGGACAGTGGTGCCTCCGTTCACAAGGCAAAAAAAGGGGGAAATGGATGACAAGAAAGTAGAGAGGATAAGAATAGGAGAAAGGCGGAAAGACTGAAATTTGGCATGGATTGAGTATTAGCTGCAAATAATTCTTATTTTCTTAACAGAACTTTCAAGATAAAATACAAGGCATCAGACAAGTTTTATTAGAATTTTTTGTGGTCGTCTTACATTTCTGGCACTATTACTCCCAAAGCAAACCCAAGTCTTCTGGTGTGCCAAGCAATTAAACACAAACCACTGTTGTACCTGCACATGGCTGTATTTGATTCAGGTCTAACTGTAGCACAGTTGAACCGAGTTGAGGCAGAGACAGACAGAACAGCATGCAGTAATTGGACAGCATGTCGACAGACAGTAATACAGTCACAAAGTGAAGAATGAAAAAGTTTGGAAAATCCACAACAAACTAAGTTTGACATGACTCCACTCAGCAGCAGCTGCAGTTTTCATGGTGAGACTATTTTCGATGGTGGAAAGAAAGCTACTGGTCCAGGAGCTGTTAGCTTGTTTGCAACGCTGCCAGTAATGCTCGCTGCCATGTGAGACTCCTCTGTCCTCAGTTTCTCTAAAGTCCTCTATAACCTTATGTGTGGCTTCATCACATTCCTTTCAAGCAATAAATCACAACAGCCACACAGCAGTGTATTAAAGTCTCTATCTAAGCTTAAACAAGGCTGCCTTACTGAATATGCAATACCCTCTACAACAAAAGGTCAAAGAACAGTCCTGAACTCCAGACCTTGAGGTGTACAAAGTTGTCCATTGGACCAATCTTCATATTTCTGACTGTCTGAGGGCCAAATGTCAATCATGAAGAACCCAGTGATGTATTTCATATACAGTACAGCTGCCTCTGATTTTAGATCACATGCCTTTCAACTAAAAACATGTGCTGAAACTACATCAAACTGTGCATGTGCAGATTTTGCCAAAGGTTTCGGGATTTGGCACATATTCGATAATATTTAGCATTTCTGGTGGCCTGTAATGATATTAGCAATGTTAAGTCATGCTAACAGTCGATCAATTGTAAACACTGCAAGTAAGCTACGCTTTGTAAATGCCTGACTGCTATGCATGTTGGCACAGGGACCACCCTCAGGACAGGGCCTCAATATAAGGTGATACAGCAGTGGGTTCTCAAGGCCTTTTATGTCAGATTAAAGACCAGTGTGTAGGATTCAGTGGTATATAGCAGTGAAGTTGCAGATTGCAACCAACTTAATACCGCCCCCTTTCAAGCATGTATGAGAAACTACGGTGGCCACACAACCCCTGAAAAACGCAGAAGACCCTATCTTCAGGGATACTTTCCTAACATGGTGCAGAGGGCCCAGGCAAAAAACATAGGGTCATCCAGCCAAACGTACCAGGTTCAACTAGATAGCAGATTACTTTGTAACAAGAACAAGACCAGTACTGTTTACCTCACGATTGTTGCAGCAAACATAACAAAGTGAACAAATATGGCTTAAAAAATCAAACAGACACAAAACAAAAATATTAAATAAAGCAATACAAAATAAAATATGAAATAGTTCCTCTACCCTACAAAAGCAAAAAGCTAGGTGTCTAAAAAATGATGGAATTCAAGAACACGGGCTGCAAAAGTGTTTCGTGCCCCCATTCTCTGGTGGCGACAGCTAGCCGGGTGACTCATCCACGCTCTACAGAGGTTGAGGTCTGTGTGATTAAAACCAGTCCGCAGATTGGGCTGCTGCCCCACTTTCACACTTTCCACTGTGTTCTCACTGTTCTGGGAGACATATCTAGTGAGGTAGCATTCCTGCAGACCCGCCTAACAATGTTCCCTCGACCTCCTATATGCCTCATTTGCTTTGATTCCAGTCTATGAATGATGATATGCTGTAAAGAGCGACCCTTTAATATTTTTACTTAGACTTGTGACAAAAAGGTTGCCAGTTTGAATTCTAAATTAGCTGTGTGGGGGAAGAGAATGAGTAATGTTATTCTGTCTCTCAACAGCTACCACTATTCTTCCCTGCATAACCAAATAGGATTAATGACAAGGGTATGTGGGTATGTGTCCATGTGTGTAACTTACCCTGCATCAACTGCCTGAGGCTGCTGACTATATAAGAATATTTCCTGTATGTCAGTGTGTGTTTTTAGAAGGAGCAGGGGCCCGTGTTGTTTTTATACCAATGTATATCTCTCCTGTACAGTAGAAGTTACTATAGACTCCCTAGAGTAGAAGCACATACTATTCGACCTGAGTTTGCCCTGTATTCCATCTCCTCTGATTAATCACTAATCTGTGCCCTGCTACCCGCTGGTCTGGGAGAAAGTGGTAACACAAGCCAGTCCAGCCAGGTTATATTATGATAATGAGAAACAAAGTGTGTTTTTAAAGGTTTTACAGAGGTTGCACTGGTCCAAGAACAGCTTCCATAAACAAATTATAACTACAAGGCCTCTGTTAGAAGCCCTGACTAATCCTGGAACCAGACAGGTGCCTGACTGACAGTCTGAGAAAAGAAATTAGAAAGCACTAACTCGCCCCCAAGAGAAGTGACCGTGTTTTTTCAGACATAAACTCATGTCTCTCTTTCAGCATCAAAGCAATATGGCTCAACGAAACCGCAGGTTAACATGCCACAAAAATTAAAAGTGTGCGGAAACATTTTCATGTGTGTCTTTTTTCTTTTTTGAAGAATTACAAGTAAAACGCAAAAGTCATTAACAGCATTTTTTAACCTAAGGGAGCTTACTTTAATTAAGCAGCAACACTGTTATACAATCATTTATGTTCACATGGCTCAGTGGCTGTCAAGGTTGTTGCGTTTGTGTTGTGGGAGCCGAATAACCTTAATTAGCCAAATGTGTTTAATGCAGTCCAATTATTTTGTTGCTCGGTGTGTGAAGCTAAAGAGCGTCCAAGTTTGATGGAGTGTGATTTGAGATTTTACTGTCAGAGCTGACTCATGGCCACCCAATATGCCGCTCCCGGTAGATACCCGAGGCCAGTTGTTGTTGGCTGACTATTGAGGATGTAAATGAGGTTGTTTACCATGTGGCCCCAAAATATGTGGAGAGTGGGGCCACGGGAGGGGCTCAGCAGTGGTACTGTGTATTTGTTTCTTACATTACGTGGCTCAAGTGTGTACTGTACTGTATGTGTGAGTGACTGAGTTTCAGACAGTTAATTACTGTGTCTTGTTTTGAATCTATTATTTTTGCTATTACTATTATCCACATTTTCATCACTTAAAGGTCCAGTGTCAGTGTGTAACATTCAGGAGGATCTTTTGGCATAAATTCAATATAATGTTCATAGGCATGTTTTTCACGTGTATAATAAGCTGAAAATAAGAATTTTGTAGTATAATTTTGTTATATCAGAATGATCTGTTTTTATCGACAGAGTGAGCGGGTCCTCTTCTACTGAGTCCACCATGTTTCTACAGTAGCCCAGAACAGACAAACCAAATACTGGCTCGAAGGCAGGGCCTTTTGCGAGTTTCGCGAACATCTTTACCGCTAGATGCCACTAAGTCCTACACACTGGCGCTTTAAAATAAAATGTGTATGTGACAAAATAATCTCAACGCAATGGTCCACTTTCTAGCTTTGTCTGAGCTTCTCCATCTCAACTATCTTCGTTAGCAAACCGAGTCAAGTGCCATTACATGAGCTAATGTTAAATACTCTGTATGCCAATTATTTTAATGATAATTTATAACTGTCTGAAATTTTCACTTAATGCATCTTTAAATTAAGTGTGTATTTTTAGCAATTTCATCCTGAAAACCCATTAGCTTGCCACAAACAACTGTAGGTTAGCACTAAAGCACAGGTTATTTGAAGAAGCTGTAAGAGAACATTGTCAACAACCTTCGTACACTTTGCCAAAATGTTGCTTGATTTGCTTACAGTAGCTAAAGTAGCTAAAGGTAGGCCACATAATGACACCTGAGGCAGTTCTATCCACTGATGAAGACTGTAAGATTTGGTTGAAAACATTGGTTGAAATCCGTATCTAGTAAGTGGAACATGAAATACCAAAAATGAACTACATATATTACATGTACATGGATCATTGCTCTGTCAGTTTGTGTAGGCCAAGGAAAACTAACCTCATCATCATTTATACCAATGTAGCATTTATGAACTGAATTAAGATAGTGAAAGAAAGATGGAATGAGAGTGTGTGTGTGTGTGTGTGTGTGTGTGTGTGTTCCAGTGTTTTCATCTATGAATGCATCTGTGGTATATGTATACATGCTAACAATAATGCACTATAGGTGTAGTATATTCATATGCGGTCTACAAGAATGTGTCCATATGCATGAGCTGGTTTGTTACCCTGTGTGAAGAGAGACTGCTTTGCATTGCTTGTGGGTACATGTATGGGTTTGTATTGATGTATATATGCATGTGCAAGCCCATCCATGGGATATGTATGCATTTAGCCTAACTATGTATTCTGTGTGTGTCTCCATGTTCACCTCTGCTCTGCTGGCGGTTGACTATACCCCCAAGGGTCCAGCGGCGGTCCAGCCTCTTCAGATGTGCCTTGCGTCTCTTAGTGACTGATGATGAGGAGGAGCAACCAAGAAGGAAAAAGCAAATGTGGAGTTAGTTGTAAGAAGCACAGATTAGCAAACTGAACACAGACAAAAAAAAGGTGTTGTTAGTAGCACCAAATTAATTTCGAAGGGACAATCGCAAATAAACAACTTTTTTGTGTCAAGCATGAAGCCAGTATATTATCTCTTTGTCTGTGTTTAGAGAGGATATGTTATGGTCAAAACATGTTGTGCAAATTTCCACTTAATATGCAGAATGTACGTAAGTCACAACTGTTACTTCCTAAAGTTTATGGAGTTAAAACAAAAGGATCTGAGGACGGGATCAGCAGCCAACCACCATGTGTTATATAGTGTGCCATTATTTATTGGTGGGTGTTTATTGTACTATTTGGTGCATATTTATTGTGTACTCTCAGTTTTCAGGGCTTTTTTAGCATCTGAGCAGGGACCAAAGACAACATAACCCCATGTACTAGTTATTAGGTAACTGTAGACAGCCCTGCAATAAGTTCTACCTTTGTATAACTTATTTCTACCTCTATTTACATACTTAACACCACCTCTCCATGAAACAAAAATCACTGCTGACTTCTCACTGACACTGGTAGTCAGCAAGTTTTACATATTTTTCTCCACACACATACATATCATCAAAGTCAGCTACTGTGGCGGGCAGCCTGGCCCGGTGTCGGTTTCACTCTGACAGGAAGGTAAGTAGACAGCTACAGGACTGTCATAAACAGCTTTTGCCTTACACAGTCAGACTAAGTGGCAGGGAGAATCCAAGCAAAAGGAAAGAGTTTCAGTTTGTACCTACTAACTACAAACCTCCAATACATCAAAGCTACTGAGTGGGAAAAATCTGTTTAGGGCTGAAACCACTAATTACTTACATTTTCAATTTCTCTGTTTTTTTACACAATAAAAAGATGATTTGTTTAGAAATGTTTAAAAAAAGGGGTAAAATGCCTTTTACAATTTACAACAGTTCAAACCCCAAAAGTATCCAATGTACAATGATGTAAAAGAGAGAAAAGCAGCAAACACTACATTTGTTTTTGTTTTTCTTGATTTCAAAACTACACAAAATAGTTGCACAGCAGCCATTTTGACATAAAATTATAGGGTGAACACAGGCATTACCAATGTCCCAGATTTAAGGTTCTGTTCCATTTAGTGTAGCAGAGCCTTTGCAGTGAGCCAATGTGCACAATAGCAGCACACTGACTCTGTTTGACCTGAATGCAACGGAACCTTAATTAGTAACCTCGGTTACCCTACTGTTTCATGCCAAAATGGCTGCTGTGAACAAGGTTCTTCTGACATGAGATGACAATGGATGGAATGAGGAATTCTTTTTGAGCACCTTAATATTATGCAAGGGTGCCTTTTTATATACACTGTAAACCTCTTCTTCACCATCTTATCATCCACATCATATCTGTCTATAATTGAGTTTAAAAACCTTACATCCTCAAATCAGCCACTGCAGTAAGAACACTTAACTTGTTTCAAATAAGAAATCAACTTATTTTAAGAATTCTATAGAAATTAGTGTGCGTATCCTGAAGCAGAAAAAATAAGGCAGGTTGAAATTGGCTTTTTAAGAAGGCGATTTCTGAGTGTATATACAACATAGTTCTAAGCTGTGGTGGTTAATGATAACTGCAAACCAGTTGGCTTATAGTTTAGATCAACCGATCAACTAGGAAGGAAGACATCACAGATTGCATTGGTATTAACTGTAATTGATGAACACATACAGTATCTCAATGGAAGTGTGTTTGCCGAACTCTCAACCTCTTCCACTCCTTATTAATTCAAAGCCTGTATGATAAAGCAGCAGTCATGACATGATGAGTCATTTTCCTATCTAATGCCCTCCCTGAGGCCACATGAAGAGCAAACACATTAATGTGGGGAAGGATAGAAGGAAATGCTTGCCTTCTGTCTATCTTTCTACTGCGGTAATCTGATTCCTTCTCTCTTGCTCACTTTCCCTATCTTCTGTCCTCTCTTTACCTTCTTGTCTTTCCATCTTTCCTTCTGCTCGACATCTGCCCTCTCTCCCTTTGTATGCTTCTGCTACTTGTCATTTCATCTCCTTTTTGATTCCTCTCTGCCTTCCATCCATCCCACTGAGCGCCATACTACTCCTGTTGACCTCCTAATTGAAATATCAGCGAAAGGCAGGCACAAAGGGAAATGTTATTTCGAGGTAATTTCAGCGGGGCCGGGCTGTGCCTGTCGGTTCCTCTCCAGCGAGCCGAGCTGTCAGTGGAATTAGGTTACAGACCACGCAGAGATAATGAGATGTAAGAGACGACAGGAAGCGGGAAGGGGGAGATCAGAAATAAGAAGTGACGATGTGTGCAAACACAAAGACACCAGGCCTAATGGGAAAATGGGGGCCACAGAGAGAGGATGGGGAGTGGATGAGAAAGAGTGTGTGTGTGTACTTATGTGTAGTTGTGAGCTCAGGCACTTCCTGCATAAATTCAATTGAGTGCAAAAAAAAAAACACGAGTGAGATTCCCTTTTAACATAAGTGCCAGATCCAACCCAAAGGCTTAAAGGATAATTCTGGTCTATTACAACTTGCATCTTATTTGGGTAGTTTTGTCCATGCTTCCTATCACTAATAACCCAAATGTACTCACCGAGTTAACTGCTGCGATGTGTGCACAGTTTGCCTGTGTATTGAGGGATTATTACATTTGTTGTGTGCTTTCTTTTCACCTCGAAATGAAGTGCTAAAGAGTTTCTGTCTCTTAAAGGTTCCATATGTACGATTTTGAAACATTTAACGTATTAATGTGTAAAAATCCATATGAATCACTTTTTATTGCCAATGTGTGAACGGGTTGCAATGTAACTCCAAAAATAAGGCCTTTCCCGACATTCTCGGTTTTCTATGAACTGAACCTCCATGGAGGGATGCGGTTGGATTTCCTGTGTGCTTTAGCCTTCTGTCTCTGCTTCCCTGCAGTGTCAACAGTGTGCGACACTAGCCAACGTTAGCTCAGCTGGTGTAAGTACCAGATGTTCTCGGTCTGACCCACCACAACCGAGTCCAACCGAGTTGCCTTTCTACAGGTTACTTTGTTGGCTGGCGTTGCGGGGACAGCCAGTGCCAAATGTTATTTAGCATGGCTGGGTAGCTTGCTTGCTATTCAATGCTATCCCTGGAAAAATGCTATCTAAGTGGATGCGTTAGTTGGCTAACATTAGATTGCAAAATAACCTGACCAGCTAGCTTCATCTAGACTTCTGGGCCTGATCTGGCTGGTTTGCCTTTCTACAGGTTACTTTGTTGGCTGGCGTTGCGGGGACAGCCAGTCCCTACAAGGAACTTTCATTTTGTGTTGATTCTGTTGGCCCCTGTGGACAAAAGCGGAAGTGTTTCCACCACCTTGTTTCATTGATTTCAAGGGGAATCTAACTGAATCTGACCTGGTGGCAGGTATTAAGAATAACTACAAAGAAACAGCCAATCTTCTTGCTGATGGTCTTGTTTGTTTATGTGTCTCTTACTAGATCTCAGCAACCAAAAGAATACCGCACTGGTTTAGCATTGCACTCCTATAGCAATGTCAGACTCATGATGGACTATTTAAAAAACAAGGATCAAAATTGATGCAGCAACTCGACCACTGACAGTTTGGTTGGAGATTCAGTATACAGGATTGTAAGAGATGACAGTGTTACAGGCACTGACAGCATCTATTAAGTCTGTGCTAGAGGGAAAAAATCCAAGACACAAATGAGAACAGCAAATAACAGTGACTGTGGCATCTGTGCAGGAGCTGTCATCATTCTAGTAGAGTCTGTTTTTGTGTGTGTGTGTCTTGCAGAATGTGCACAGTTCAATGATGCGTAGATGCTTGTATGTCTTAATGAGAGACAGAAAATGTTTGTTAGATTATCCGGTGGCACTCTACAGCGTGATTAACTATTGCACCATTCCTGTTTCAATACCATACACTACTGCAGATAAACTGCGTGCATGTGTGTCTTGCCTGCATTTTTAGGCATGCATGTGAGCATACTTGTGTGTTTGCACCTTATTTATCACTCTAGGATTCCCGTGGTCTAAAAGCAGAAAGGGGCTTATGACACAGTGATGAAACGCTCCATCCCAGCAGTCAGACTAAACATTAGGGAGGAAAGGGTCACAACAAAATGAGGCTCCTGCAAGAGTTGCAGCCTCCCAGGGGAGCTGAAAGGAATTTTCTGTGGTGCCAAAATATTGCAAACCCTTTGGCTGCGGTCTGGTACCATTTCACCATGGAGCTGCGACTGTGGTCTTCAAGGTTCCTAATGTGTGACTGGAAGTATGTTTATGAGTGTGTGTGTGTGTGTGTGTGTGTGTGTGTGTGTGTGTGTGTGTTGACTTCTGTAGCAGCTTTTAGTCTTAGATTGAGATGTGAGCACAGAAAAACCGCCCACCAAAATTAATGAATTATTGAGAAATCATTGCCTGTTCCATGCAGGCGTTCTTTGAATAACTAGTCGGTCAGAATGACGTTTATGTCTTTCTGTGTTTTATGAATCTAATAATGTTGTGTGTGTGTGTCTGCGCTAACCTTCTCCAGTCCTGGAAGTGCCCAGATCCAAATCATCTCTGGTTACATTCTGGGAGTCCAGGTATGTGGCCGGCACCCAGCCCTGCTCCTCTGCTGTGCTGACAAACCACCAGCCTGGAGAGAGACAGAAACAGAGCGAACATATTAGTACTGCAAACAATCATCAAGGCCTGAAGGATGGCAGCGAGCGTCATTCCCAAGTGGTGAGTTACACCAAACAATGGGAATTACATGTCATTGTTGTTCACCTCTCAAATATAGCACAATGTACTGTGACTGTGGATGAGCCAGCAATTGCACGTCAGCCTGTGAATGGGTGGTTAAACCATACATTTAATATGTTGGGCATGCCTGCATCAGTGTGACAGAGAGATCTGAGGTGTACTCATGGCCGCTGGAAGTTTCACCTACTTGGAAAGCTCTCATCATTACTAAACCAGACACTGGAAAAGAAGAAAGACATCGGAGAGAGCAAAGTGTTAAGGCTTGAAGTGAAACAGATCAACAAAAGGTTTAAAAAGCACTTGTTGCGCCTTTTAAAGATGAATCTGTCAAGACCAGTAGGTTGTTTTAAGTTGCTTCACTTTTCACCATTACTCATTATGAAACATGTTATACCGCTGTTTGGCCAGACCTCTCTAACATCCCGAAGCTACGTGGACAAACCAAGGTTATACAGTGCAACCTTTAAACCTACAAGAACACAAGTCTGCAGCACTGTGAAGTTGTAATTCAGAACAATGGTGCTATGAACTAGAGGCACTGTCAACATCATTATCATGGCAGCGGCCTCATGATCATAATGTTAATATGCTAATGTTTAGCAGGTATAATGCTTACCATGTTCACAATCTTATTTTAATGCGTTAGCAACGTTTGCATAACATTTGCTAATTAGCACTAAAAACTTAATACAGAGTTTATACTGAGTTTGATGGCAGTCATAAAGCAAAGTATTGGACAAAGTGGACAAAATTTGACCTGATGATGTTGTTATATGAATAAACTGGCCTCACCGAGAGGGATGAATGTCTGCACCAAATTCCATGGTAGTACGTCCAATAGTTGTGGAGACATTTCATTCAAAACCAAAATTGTCACCCTAATAGTGGTGCTAAATCATTTCGGAACCATGAATGCCTTGGCCACATTTTGTGATAATCCATCTGCCAGAAGTGGATATATTTTACTGGAGAAGCAATACATTTGATGCGCTGCTGGTGCTAGATGAAAACTCAGGGGATCAACAAAAATATAACCATTCATCCTCTGGGGATCATGAATGTTGCTGAGATTTTACAGTCTGGACCAAAGTGATGGACCAGACAAAGTCACCATCACTAGAGCTGCTCTGCTATAATGGCTAAAAATACCATGGAGAAAGATGTACTTTATCCAACTGAGTCATCATAGCATGCTGACTTCATACCATGATGTACTGGAATTCTTCGAAACACTGATCAAGGACACAAGTTTGCTTTGTAAAACAGCCACATGACTCTTATTCGACTGTCTACATTTTGCCACTATCCTTCGAGTCTTTTCTGTATTTACCCAAATCTGACTTTTGCCTTTAGGGAGTCTCGTGAAGTTGGAAGGGTTTTCACTTATGAATGAATTAAATATCATGGTATTGCATGACACTGTTGCACTGTATTTTCACTAAATATTACTCACTTCATCCCCTGACCAAAGTTGTAGAAGACAGATCATGCTTTGAGTAGTACTGACTAAAAAGTAGTTTGTGGTTACATGTATGCTATTCTGTTACAGCATTCACAGAGCTGACTTGACACAATTACAAAAACATATGTCACTTTAGGCGGCAACCACAACCAAAAGAACTGGGAGGCAAGGCTTTCACATCAATCACATTTTGACAATCGGCACGTGTCATTCTCTAACGAAGACTGTGTTTACGAAACCCAGAGGCGTGACGAGTATTGCCTTCACAATATTTGGGATCATATCGATGGCACTGGATAAGTTGGTATTTAAATGGGGTGACTTCACGACTGTAGTCACTCCAGCTTCTGGCTAGAAACCACTGCATGACACATTCTTCCAGTATCTACAGTACAAGTTGGCAGGACAGCAGACTCTGTCTGAGGCAAGAGGTGAAAGTTGATAAAAGATATATTTCTTTTTACCACAGTGTGGAAGAATATATTTAGGAGAGCACTGCAGCTCCACCAAAGTAGGTGATTCAGTGCCTTTCATGTGTAGCTGTTGTGTGCTATGTGTTTGCTACAAACACAAATTTCACCAATATCCCCAGGATTTAAATTGGCAACCACCCGGTCTTAAATGTAATTTTGTATGCAAGTGTGACTGAACATGTAGGTGACAGAATTAGAGAGATGGGTGGAGATGGACAGAAAAGTAGAAACAAACTTTTTCTTTCTCCAAATGAGTCCGACAATTAGGTCATCACGGCTCCAATGTATTTACAGCCATATGGCTCAGCTCTCTAATGTGGTTGGAGAAGCTTGGGTGAATCAACCCATCACGCCCTTTTTTATTACCCGGCAAGACACCAATCACATTAACACGTATTATGAATGATGTGGAAAGTATGCCTTTAACAGTAGAGCTGTATCATGGGGAAAGTAATAGTAATAGGAACGAGGAGAAGGTGTGTTTGTGCTGTATAAAGAAGCCACAGTATAAGCAACTATATACCACCACCAAGAGAAACTAAAATTTGATTGGAACAGAGAATGTGCATTATTTTCAGATAAATGCACAGCTATTTTATAAATGAATACTCATAACTATGGGTAATCGTTTCAATCATAACATTGCTAGGTAAATAATAAAATAATTTTCATTTATGAATAAATTATACTTTTACACTATTTTGATTGCCATTAAAGAATGAGTATTTTACAGTATAATGCAGCAGTTCAGTAAAAGAAAATAATGCACTTACCACTACTCCAAATTTAGAGCTGTTAATAATGATCACTTCACTAATCCATCATCTATCTCATTAATTATTAACTGTACTTTTTAATCACTGGTTTATACTGTCAGAAAATATGAATGGCTAGGTTATAATAATAAATTATACTTTAACAATATGTTTTGTTGATCAATTAAATGACTAATCATTTCAACAATACACATAGTCAAAAGTTATTTTAATACAGTGATTGATGCGTGGCTAACTAATTCATGTTTGGAAAAAAAACTGAAACTGAAATTTTCAACTGCATCTTGGAAGGAAGACCATGAGTTGTGGTTGAAAGCTACGTGGATCTTAAGTTAAGATTTTTATTTGATTTTTCTTTATTATTTATTTAGTTGACAAACTACTGCTTCAGTGGTAAAGAAAGAACTTTAATGGTCCATTTATCTCATGCTAATTGCATTGATACAGGAATCAAATCTTCTGATCTGTGAAAATGAAAATGACCCATTGACTCTGTTTTTACAGGTAATGTGAAAGCATTCGCAGCTAAAACTAGCCCTGCAGAAAGCTGAATGTTCCTGCTGAGCTTCATTGGTGCCAGACTGTAACAACAACAACTACACTAACAGTCATTAAAATATTACTGGCTTGACACTTAACAGACCACAGTAGAGGAGCCTGCCCAGCCCCCTGCATGTGGCCTCATCTCTCCTTATACCCATATAAGCACAGTGAGGCCTGAGCCACCCTGACTTTGACAGCTTATATGTAACATAAAAACACCTTCTTCCAACACACACACACACACACACAAAATCATACTGAAATACTGTCTCCCCTGAATTTCCCCACAGCAGGCTATGTCTCACAGTCAACACAGGAGTTAATTCAACCTGAGGGCCTCAGACACATGGGGGGTTGTGCACAGTAGCTGCAGTGTACCTGAACTTCCTCACAGTCACACTGGCTTTCTGTGGATGTTCTGTACCTGCCCGTCGGCTGCTTTAATACTCCTGCAGAGACCTTACAGTGCAGTCTGGCTTCAGGAGAGGTCAGCTTAGTTCATTTTGGACCCATCAGGATTAATTTAGGACTCTGCTTGGCTTGACTGGTGGAGGTAGTGGTTTCATATGAAATTGTATTTGACACCACCACAGTTATACTATGCAAATTAAATCTTACACCATAGCTCCTGGTTTCAGAAGCCCAGTGTTATAATGAACAGAGCTTGCCACAGAGCTAGCACTTGTAAACTCAGGAGGTGCTGTCAAACATGGGCAAGAGGATTTTCTTGTAGGGGGGTCCTCTGCTTGGTAAAGATTAGAGAAGTGGGCTGTGACCACACAATGGCTTTACATCATGAATTTAAGTAGGATTTATTTAGTGCAGAGTTTGTCTTTTGATTCCTGAAGGTTTTAATCTATTTTTCTGTTTTGCTGCAGTGTGAAAGGTGCGCCTTGCAGTAAGAATAGCTTGCTCCATATGAAACACATCAGGGCTTTCATAGGCTGATTCATTGCAACTACTCAAAGAGTTAAAGAAGAATTGGAGCCACCTGTACGGAGGAGAGCAGTAGCTCTGTACATAGAGAAATGCAGGAGTTCCTCCTCTCTTTAGCCCACCTGACACGCTGTGGAAAAACAGAATAATAAATCTTCTGCACTGACAGGAACATTCAGGTGACTGTCTGCCACTGACAGTGGCAAGTGTGAGCGCCGCAACTGCTGCTAATCTCATCTTAACATGAGATATATCCTTGAAGGGCGAAAGTTCAAAGGTCTGATCATTTGATGATGAGCATATCATACTCTATGAACAAATCCAAAATCAGGAATGATGTGATTTCATCTGTTTGTGCTGGTTAAATTAACAGCTGCAGCACTGTCCACAATGAAAACATTGTAAGATTTTTTTATTGATGCCAAAATGATGAGGGTTTGCAGAAGTCCAACTGTGGGGAATCAAATTCATGACTGGCTTTCCCCAGTCCACTAATAATAAAAAATTGTTCAGATCTTAAAGTTAGACTTGAATGAAGAAACACAGACTGCACAAGTCTCTTTAGCCGTACTGCTGATCAAAGCTGACATCAGAATCAAAGAGTATTCCCAAACCTTTACCTGATGTCAAAATCTAGCTACCCTGGCCAGCGGGATTCTTTGTTCATTATGAAACCACTTAAAGTGTTTTAGGGGAAACT